CAGTGCTAAAGCTTCGCCAGCTCAGCTAGGTCGGAATGCGTGGAAGAGTGAAGAGTGTTGGTGTCAAGAGGAGGTGGTGCGACTGCGACGACATTGTGTGAACCTAGAGTACATCGAATGTCGGCGGTGAATAGTGAAATGTAGTCAAGATCACGTATCTCGCGTGATGAATATCGATCAGGCTTATGATTAAGAACATACGTAAGTGGAATATGGTCGGTTTGAATGGCAAATTATCTACCTTATAAAAAGTGTCGGAAATGGCGAATATCAAGGTAAATTGCGAGTAATACACGAACAAAAGTACTGTACCGCGATTGTACAGCCTGCATCTTCTGCGAGAATAGGGCTAATGGTTCGAATATGTTGTTAAATACTTGGTGGAGTACGGCGCCGTCAGCGGCGTTCGAAGCATCAGTTGTCAAAATCAGCTTTGTGCTTTCGTGGGTATCAAAAAAAGATTACTTTGTAGCCTGGGTAATGGCTTGTTTGATTCTTTCGAAAGCGGTAATGGCGGTGGGGGGCAAGGTGGCAGATTTTTCTCTGGGGCCAAGTAAATCGATAAGTGGCTGTAAAATATCTGCGCAATGAGGGATGAACACCCGAGAATAGCTGATGACACCGACGAAACGACGAATTTGGGTGATAGTGGTTGGTGTGGGAAAATATTCTGGGGAAAAATGCGGCCGGACAGTGTCGAAATACAGGTTCGGTCAATGTGGTGGCCGAGAAAATCTACGCTAGGAACAACGAATAAGCATCTGTTAGTGTTCAAACGTATGCTGTGAGTGTAAAAACGCTCAAATACCGCGCTGAGTTGAGCTGCGTGCTCAGTTGGGGAGGTGCTAGCGAATAAAACACCGTCAAGAGAGGCATACCCAGAAGGTACACAACGTGAAACGTTGTCCATGAAACGTTAAAGCGTTTGATCTGCATTTCGAAAACCAATGGACATACGTGTGAATTCAAAAAAACCAAACGGTGTTGTGGTGACTGTTTTAGGTATGTCCTTCGAGGCTACGGGTATGTGGTAGTAAGCTCGTACGAGATCGAGTTTAAAGATGTTTGTGTGGCATAAGGTACTTGCGAAATCGTGGATATGTGGGATGGGAGACCTGTCTTGGATAGCGGCGGTATTCAGTGAACTGTGATCTCCATGTGGCCTCCAACCACCTGTAAATTTCTTGGGTACCATATGTGGGATGACGACCAATGACTTGATGAAGTGCGGATGATGTCGATTTCGAGCATGTGTTCGAACTCGTGTTTTGCGATTTTTAGCTTATCCGGATGAGGTCGGCGGGTTTTGGTATGGACATGTGGACCTTTCGTCTGGATGTGGTGAATGACGGAGTGAGTGACCGGTTGGGTGTACTGACACGGACGAGTAAGGGTCGGAAAATCCCTAAGTATGTCAGGATATGGTGAATCAGGTAAAATAACTCCGATACCTGTGCATGAAGTTGGGGTACTAATTCTGTTGACTGAGAGGGAATTTAGCATGCCCAAGTTGCGTTTGTGTCAAACATCGACAGATATGTTGTAGTGGGTAGGAAGTCTGCACCAGTGATGGATGTTTTGACGTCGGCCAAAAGGAAGATCCACTTCAACGCACGTCGCAATCCGAGGTCAAGGCTGAGGGGACGTTCGCTGTGTGTAGCGATGCGGGTACGGTTAGCAGCTCTTAAGGAATAAGAAGCAGAATCGGAAAATGGATTCCCATGTGGTAGCACACTAACTTTAGCTCCCGTATCTACGAGGAAACCTAGACCACTTGAACGATCGGTGATGTGGAATAGGCGACTAGTGCAAGGAGGGCACAGACAGTCGTCACCGTTACTGACTGGCCGGGGTGTTTAAAGGGGTGTTGAGACGCGGCTTGAAGGAACAAGGCAATAGACACTTGCGTCCTTGTGGACCGGAATTTTTGCGATACCGACACCAAGAAGGACGAGGACGAGACAACGATCGGGATCGTGAACGTGAGCGATGCCTGTTGATCTCTGGCCATTGTAGTTGATCGGCCAAAGCATCAAATTTAGATGGTAAATGTAATATGGAAGCAAGAATCGGATGGGAATCTGTAGTAGTGTATGTACGGTGGATGACGGAGTTTACGTGGTTCCTGGGGTAGCATCCTTGGATTTTATCCACCATTCGGGCTAGCTGCTCCGAGCCGTGGTCATCAATGAAGGCACTGATTAGGTGAGACGTTGGGGGTGGAGGTTTGTCGAGCCATAGGTGGACCATGAGTTCCACCGCTGGCTTACGGCTGCAGGGAAGACTGCGCATATGGTGAAGCAGTTGTGATGGCGATCTGTCACCAAGTTCGACGGTGGTGGATAAGTCCCGTAGAATTTTTTTTCGAAATTCCCTTTCCTACTTATGACGGCCGCTTGAAGGGCGTCGAAGGGATTTTCATTAGGGATATCATCAAACAGATCTACTTATGTTGCTACATCATAAGGAGGATGCTGGACGACACAGAATCATCAGGTGGCTTGGGAAGTAATGCGTCTGGTGGTAAAAGCGGCTTCGACTTGGTGAAACCATACCATGGGGTTGCGGGGATTTTAGACTGGCAAACGTATGCTAATTGCATTCTCGACTAAATCCGCTGAATCGCAGTGTGTCTCCATAGTGAGCTGGCAAAAGAAATGGAAGTTTTCAAAAAAGTATCTAGAAAGACTCGGCCTCACTGAATTTGTAGTGGTCTGTCTGCTCAATAAGTACTTTACCAGGAGTGTGTGGCAAAGAAATAAAAATAATAACGTTAGTTTGGGTATAAAATAGTAAAGAGTTCAGATGGAACAGGCTCACTAATGATTGTTCTCTTTAAACTATTCTGTCGTTCGCCCAGGTCAGCGATGTAATATATACAATATATATAATATTGACAATATATATATATAATCCGGGGTCCAGTGATCTTCTTTTGAACAGTTCCCAGATATAATAGATTCCAAAAATGGTCTGAAATGTTTTGATCCCTGAGTTAGTACATGAGACTCGCGAGCGACCGCAGCAAGCGCGAGCGAAATCGGAAGGGATAGTCGAAGCACGTAACCGCGATTGTATTGCGTGAAATTATACAGGTGCGCGTTTTAGTAGTTTTCCGTATTCGAACAAAAAACGATTATGCAATTGACGAAATACGTAGTGTTATAGTGGAAGCGAAATAAAGGTAAATAACACCACAGGGACACCAGTCCTAGGTTTTAAGGCACAAATTCTGGGAACAATGAACAGACCTGATAACCCCGTATGGTTAATATATTAAAGGCACAAACTGATGGAGAAAGCGACTTCTTGAATGAACCTCAAAGATCCAGTGCGAGTATATCCAGTGGGTCACTGCTTCACCGATTGATACACAGGATCGAGGCTTTTGCCCATGTTTCCCTGGTCGCTTTTGTTCTTGTCGGTCAGTGGCTGTCGTTCACCTGAAAGGCACAAGTGAAAAAAGGGTGTAGCACTGCTCTTTATGTTCTCAGCGCGGGGCATTATGCTTGCCAGCGCGAGGATTCGCATAAATAAATGTCTAATAGTGCTTTAAA